AAAAAAAAAAAAAAACACTAAAAAGGCGCATATGTGCCACATCACTAATATGCGCATGGCGTAGCTAGGCCCTGTATACACACACACCCCTTACACCAGAGCTACGATGAGAAGGAGGCGGCGAAGGAGTAGGAGGAGAACTAGAGAAGGACGAGATAGGAAGCAGAGTTCATGACGAGGAGTAGGAGTACAACCTTTTTTTTTTTTTTTCGGACAATAAAGGGGATCCGGACCGGAATCCGGATAGGGGTTCCAAATCAGTCCGGATATTCCGAAATATTCCGGTTTCTCCGAAGTCTTGAAGGGCCCAGGAGGCCCGGGGTCCGAGGTCTGGATTCGGTCCGGTGTCCGGTCCGGCGTAGCTATGAATAAAACTGAAAATTTTATAATTTGACGAATTAATAATTTATAAATATGAGGGTTTTTTTTTTTATGGAATGTTTTTTTAACTTTCATTTCTCGTGGGAATTTTTCTGTCGGTTTTTAAACAAACGAACAAGGTCGATGGCATCCGAATTCGCGAGAAGTGGGATTCCACCAGCAGTCGGGAGTGGAGAAGAAAACCATACCAAAACCGGACGACTGTTGCATTTTGATTGCAACAACCAACGTTGCGAGCGCATTGCACTTGTCGCACTGACTAACCACATAAGGGGTTTAATGGGGGTTTTCAGGGGTCGAAGAGTCATGTGGCTTATCCCCATCAAACATAGTCGAAGTAGTTGACACACATAGTACAACTGCCGGTGTTCGCGAGCGGTTGAGGCGTAACGTTTTGACAAAGGATCTGGTGGAGGTCGATGCTTGAAGTCCGCCGAGATCCGAACTTGTCAGAGTCCGGTTTCCTGTGACTGCAATGATATGGATGTTGGAAGGACAGGTTAATCGTTTTATGTGGTTTGCGGACGACATCTGTTCGTGTTACCTAGAGGAGGCCCATACTGTATTTGTTTTCGGATTTCGAGGCACAAAAAGAAAGCGGTCGAGTAAATGAGGTTGTCAGCGTACCCCCATCCAAAGATGAACGGGCATAACTGCCAGCTAGAATCTTGTTGCCGAAAAATCATGCAAGTTCGGCGAGATCCACCTTCGCAAGAGGTGACATTCTCACTACTGTAGCGAGGCGGAAATGTAGAAGAGCACCATGTCAGAACCGAATTGACCGTTTGTGTTCTGGTCATACGAGTTCGCTGTAATTACGAAATGTGACTGGGGTCAGGGGGTGTGCAGAGGGGTTGACGAGGCATGTTCCATTTTTTTCACAAACGAATATAGTTGAAAAAATCTTAGCGCATAGCACAATTGCTAATATCCACCAGTAGTGGATGATGTGGATTTGTTGGTGGGCATAACAAAGGATCTCGTGGAGCACGAGACTTGAAGTTCGTCTGGATACGAATTACGCACAAAAAGGTTTCCATGACTGTAGACTGTAGTGGGTCAGAAGGATTGAATGATCGTCTACATCTGGACTGCGGAAGACAATTACTCATGTTGCCAACTCCCAACCTAAAGAGAAATATCTATGGGCGTTTGTGGGGGTAGGTGGAGGGGAGGCACAAGCAACATTTCTCTCCCGAGCCTGAAGAATCGGGAGAAGGCGGAGATGAGGTCATCAGTGCAATTTTTCCCGAAGATCGACGGACATAATTGCCAGTGTGGATCTTGCAGTGAAAAAAATATCCAATTTTTATTTGTACCGGAAAGTTTGAGGGGTCATTGTAATCGCACTCTGAGACGGGGGCTCCAAACGGGGGGAGTTGTGGTGGTAGTGGGGTCCTCGACGCCTGTTTTATTTCTTGCCAGTCGTAGTCTCATACACGACGAAGCTGGCACGCACAACAAACTCACCAATTTCCGTCAGAAATGGTTGCACATAAATGCGGGCGTTTGAAGTGCAGCACCCGACATAGCGTGATGATCATCTTCAAAGTCCGCCGGGATCTGAACTTGTCAAAGTAGGATTTTTTGTGGTTGTAGCGATTGGTTTGTATGAAAGATGATCATTCATGTCCCTAGTTGCCAGGGTGAAGAAAAATGAATATAGGTGTATAAGGGGGGTCGCGGGGAGGCAAACGCCAATTTTGTTTTCTCAAATGCAAGACAATTGAACAAAAGGGCAATTGGGTAGACGACACCGGCGCTGAATGCGCAAAATCTAGACGAACAAAATCGTCGCCAACAAGAGTGAGGGCAACCGCACATGCGTTCTGGTTTCAAGAAGAGGGGAAACTAGTGTGGGGCATTTGGGGTCACTGTGTGGGTGGGTTTCATAGACCGTCTTTGTCTGGAATTCGCACGACATTTATTCATGACGCCAACGTTTCTTTGAATGGTGTTTTGTTGTAGTCCACCGGAATCCGAACTTCATCACCACGACTTCCAGGATAGTAGCGAAATAAGGGGGGGGGGGGCGAGGCAGGTGAACTATCGACCCTGAATTGTGAAGTTCGGATCACGGTGAACTACAACAATTAGTTATTGGACATGTGTCTGTAAAAAGGCACACGCATCAGCTTTTGAAAGTGCCATTGCTCTTTATAGGTGTTAGAAGAGACATGTGGCGCTCTTGCTCACTAACACACCATTCTGTTATCTTGTATATCGAACACACATTCGTGTATTTCGTGTATTTTCATAATCGGCTCATCAGTGCATGGACACGTGTCGTCCGTACGCAATGGTGGCGGCATTGTTCGATAACGAACAATGTCGTCGATGACGAACGAGTTCTTGTCGGAACGGAGAGATTACCCAATGATGGTAATACTTTTAATATTATTCATAGAGGAACAATGTCATGATGAGGAGGACGTAATGAAATGAACAACAATATAATGAAGCACACTACGTCATGTAGCCCAATCATAAATGCGAGTACAAGTGGCGATATTGGAAAGGCCTATGTCGACAACAAAGATGGGCAGGTTGGTCATGAAGGAGCTCAGGCGTATCATCCATGAATGCACGCGCTTTTTGGAGGTCTGCACACCAATGCAACATGAGTTTCTCTAAGATCACTCACTGACACGTCAGACGAGCCACGTCGTTAACGTTAATGAAACATTAGTCGTGGGCTAATTACAAGTCGTGGTAACGTCTCAGTGCACGATACGAGAGCAGCTCGCGGTGCACTAGTCATTACTGGAAAATTCTAATGATGGATTTCGACCATCCTCTCTACCCTGCATTCTTCATCATGCCCTTCAACCACCAAGTTAAGCCAAAGGCGCATTTATCTGCACCTATGCATCAACAGGAAGAGAGAGAGAGAACGAAAAAACGAGAGGAAGAGAAAAGTAGATAAATGTTAGTAGATATTTGTAGAGAGAGAGAGAGAGAGACGAAGACAGAAAAAGATCGAGGGAAAGATATGAAATCTGCAATAGTGATGTTGCCCAATGGCTAATGTCGTTGTCTAGCGCATCAATGCGCAACAAGTCGACAGGTTTTAATGGTCGTCGTCAAGTGAATGGCGCGACAGGAGTCGAGCGTGGCAGTCGGGATCTACACGAACGACTCCTGAGGTCCTTGAAACCTTGCGTGGTCACCATTGCACATTCAGAAAATGGGCCACAAATAGTCGCGGTGAACGATGATGCCTTACATAGCTGCGGAGAGCAACGACGCTTGCATAGCGGAGCTGCACATGTAGGTGAAAGTGTTCATGGAATGGAAGAGCACTTGCGCAATGTCAGTATCTCGGAAGCTGTTTCTGGCAAGCAGGACGTGGATCGCCCGGAAGCTAACGATCCACATGCGGGATCATTGTGCAGTGCTGGTCGTCGTGTCCATAACGAGGCAGCAGGTGAGTGAGGAAGGAGCAACCCGCGTGGCAGATTCTTTAGCTCCTCAAATACGTGCGCGAGCACGTAATGAAGCTCAGCATGCAAGTGACAACGTGTGGAGACGTCGTGGGCAGTGTTCATTTAAGAGTCGACGTGGACGATGATGTCGTGGGTCAGTCATGGCCCACAACATACGTTGAAGGTCAGTATTGGCGGGTAACGATGTCTTAGTGCAGTTGCGGTTGATGTCGACGCATACGTAGTGGACGTGTCAACGAGTAAGACAATGCGCGAGAAATGGCGGAGGGTGAGCGCTGCGTCGATCATCTGAAAGGTGTTTCCGTTAGGCACGTTAAGGTTGGCCCGCATTCCGACTCATCTCATGCAGGCCCATTGCGCAAGTCGAAGCCTGACCTTCCAATGTGCAAATCGTTCGACTACCCGTGGCCCTGCGTTCGCTTTTGGTCCCGTAGGGCGGAGCGTTCCAACGACGCGTGACAAAAACTGTTCCCCAGCCCGTTAGTAAGTATCGGTACTGGTCCCGGATTACATAAATTTCTGCCGACTGAGGCCTGTCGGGACGGGGCAAAACAGGCTAACGGCCATGCTAATTGGTATAGCTACCCATATTAGAATATGAAATTTCCCGTCCTGTGAACCCACCCGGCACGTGGCGGCGGTGGCAGAACTCGCCCAAGGGCGTGTGAGGAAACAAGCCTGTTGCTTCGTTGCGTAAGTGTCATCTATCGTTTCGTCAAGCCCCTGCTGGCGCATCAGACCGTATGGAGGTCGTCATGACCGCAGGCCCACAAGCGCGCTGATTCGCTCCGCGAGGGGTGATTTTGAACCCACACTGCCTTTCCCGTCCGAGTTGTGAGCCCACTACGAACCCATGGCAGGCAGGCCTATACAAGAACCCCCCTGCCCCGCTCCCCCCCTTCCCCCCTCCTCTCTTCCCCCCAACACTCATTTCGCATTTTTGCTTTTGGGGACATGCTGTCGGACGAACCACTCATACTTTCTCCCATCAACACCAACGTGTGAAAGTCATAGAGGTTGAAGCCATTGCCATCTCTAACGCCTTGAACAACCACGTTGCCATCTCTTGCTGCGATTGCATGCTGGCACCACACACGATCGCTGCTCTTCGCGGAGCCACAACGCGCACATTGTCAAAACTATGTGCAACCGCTGCCAGGTCCGCTTAGAAACATCACACCTCTTGGGTCTGCTGGAAGAGCTCCTTGCCCACGCCATCACCTACTTCAGTCCCCCCACACCTTGCATAACCTGATCCGCTGAGGTCCCCTACGTCCATCATGATTGTCATTTATCTGCGGGTGATTTTGCGGTTCATGCATGCTGCTCGTTCCATGCACCCGCTGAATGCTCCCATTTAACCATAGCGCCCTTGTCGTCGCACTCTTCAAAGAAAACTTTTAGCACGCAAGTTTTGTTTGCAGACGTCATCGTGCCAACCTACTTCAAATAGGTACATGTTTACAACAACTCGATTGATTACGTGATAGAAGAATCAGACGACGAACATGATATCCCCGTCGACGATCGTTTTTGCAGGCGCATTTGATTATCAGACGTATGTGTTCATTTCGTGTTTGATATTGAAAACAATGCGTTCTCAACTTCTCATCTCATGCGTGATGTTAAAAACAACGTTGAGTTTTGATGCATGTCGAGGTCTTGTATGTATTTCTGTATTGCATATGAAGTGCAGCGAGCGATCGTCAACGCAGCGATTCGAAATATCCACCAGTGCACTCATCCATCAAGCGATCAACCGGTTCAGTGTACGTGCGAGTGAATGCGTGCGAGTGTGTATATGTGTGCGCATATTTATGTGATTCAGTGTGCGTATACTTTCTGGTGTGTTTATGTGTGTTTGCGAGCTTGCGTGTGTCGTGTGTGTCGTGTATGTATGTGTGTGTGTGTGCGTGATGTGTGTGTGTTTGTCGACATCATCTTAGCATACGCTCGATTCATTCCTGCCGAACGTTTACTACCGATCACTGAAATCGTTAAGTCATTCAATCAACTGACCGGAAACGACCAGTCAAGAGAGTCCTCAATTGATCAATCGATCAATCAATCGATTAATCAATCAATCGACCAATCAATCAATTGATCAATCAACGGATGAAAAACTAGCAAACCAATCAATTGGACAGTCTAGTAATCAATCAAACTTTACCCAACGAATTACAATCAATCAAGGAACCGAGTGACCAAGCACCCATTCGAACGACAAGTCTGGTAAGACGAAACAAACGAATCAATGAATGCCCCAAGGTCATTGACAAATCAATAATTAAGTGACCAGTTATTTAGTCATTGATCATTTAATAATTAATATACAATGACAAAACAATCGTTTGGGTATCGATTGTTGGATCATTGCACATTCACTAATTAAAATCAAACGACAGAACAATCGTCAAGCGATCGCCTTATCCACCAATCGTTAAGGGATTGCTATATCCAACAATCGATGGGCGATCGCTATGAAAGCAAAAGACAAAACATGAATTGATCATTACCCAATTTCTATATCCTGCAATCGTCACGCAATTGTTAGACCATCAATCATTCAATCCAGCTGGGCGTCATGAATCATGGATTGATCATTCAATCAACAAATCAGAAATGTTTGCAGACGATCAATCAATCACTCTATCTAACTGCGTGTCATCATTCACCAATCGATCGAACAAAGTTACCGTTCGAAGCAATCAGGAATTAAGGATGGTGAGTGCATTTCGATTTATCTCGTATTTATATCAATCGATGAAATAAGAAATCATTCAAGTAATCATTCGGTCAACCAATACTCTTGTCGAAGAGGAAATCAATCGCTCGCATTTTGTGTAAATTAGCAGGTGCTAATGCACTATATCCATAATGGGAATGACACTAGGACGGTCGTTCATCAACGTTGCGGGGTGGGTCTAGTAAAGTCACATGTTTTTCTCGGCGAAACGTTTACAATGTTTCATTATAGTTCAATGTTTGGATCGTATCCATCAAAGAACATCGAGCCTCGTTCATCAACAAACATACATCTCAATGCAACAACTCTCTTGTTTTCTCCTACTATTTCGGATCCCCTGAGATGCGGATGTCATCGATGTAAAATGTTGAAGTTCGATGGTATCCGAACTTCACATATTGGCGAATGAAATCAGTTCGGGAAGGTCAGACACCGGCGAGCTTCCAATATTTTCGTGTTCTTCAACTGGCAAACCCCGAATGCAGTCAAACCCCTTCTAAGCACCCCAACCCACAAAAGTCGAAGTTCGCCAGGATCCAAACTTCAGTTATTGCAGGAAGTGATGTTCAATTCAATTTTGGAAACAACACAATTGTAGTCATTGCAGTGGAAAGGTGAATATTAAAAGTTCATTGGGATCCAGACTTCACAGATTAGCGATACAGGGCAAGAAAAGAAGTTAAGATGTCGGCGAACTTGACCGATTCTCTAATCTTCTACACTTAATGAAGTCTAAATTCGTAGAACCTCGCACTCGACGTCCTCACCTGTAACATTAGAAGTTCAAATATTGAGGGAATTTGTATTCGGTCCGATTCCGGTAACATCAGGACCCCGGTCATCACAGAGGACAATCAAATACTTGAAGTTCGTCAGTGTCCAAACTTCGCGTATTATCCATAAGGGCTGACTGAATACATGAAGTTCGTCGGTATATAGATTTCACCTATTGGAAGGGTTGTTCGATTCAATATCGAGAACATCGGAACTCCAATTATTGCAGTGGACATGTGAATACATGAAGTTCGTCAGTATAAGGACTTTACATATGGTCGATATGGGACGATGAAAGAAGTTTGGATACCAACGAACTTCGAATATTGTCGTTTTTTTGCTACTTAGTGAAGTCTAAAACCATCGAACCTCACACTAAACACCCTTGCCCTTAACATTCAAAGTTCGTCGGGATCCAAGATTCGAACATTAAGGGAACAAGTGTTCGGTCCAATTCCGATAACAACAGGACTCCGGTCATCACCGAGGAAGGAGGAATATATGAAGTTCATCGGCATGTGAACTTCACGTATTCTCGATACGGGGCAACTGAAGAAGTTCGAATAACGCTGAACTTGAGCAGTTTGCTCTTTTATTATACTTACTGAAGTTTGGAATCGTAAAACCTCGCACTCGACATCTTCGCTAGTAACATCCTAAGTTCGGCGGGATCCAAACTTCGAATATTGAGGAAAGAGGTGTTCGGTCCAAATCCAGTAACAACAGGATTCTTATTATCCCAGAGGACGAACGAATATGTGGAGTTCGCCGATATCCGAACTTCACGTATTATCGATACGGGACGATTGAAGAAGTTCAGATACCGGATAACTAGATTGGTTTGGTTTTTTGCTACACTTAGTGTGGTCCGAAATCGTAAAACCTCGCACTCAACACCCTGACCCGTAACATTCCAAGTTCATCGGGATCCGAACTTCGAGTATTGAGGGAAAAACAGTTTCACTCATTGACCGGTAACAACAGGATTCCAATCATCACTGAGGTCACACAAGTATATGAAGTTTGTTGGTATGTGAACTTCACTCGTTGTTGATACTGGGCGACTGAAGAAGTTTGAATGTCGACGAACTTGACAGTTTCACTCATCGTCTACTCTTACTCAACCCCCGATATCGTCGAACGTCACACAGAACATCCTCACCCGTAACATTCGAACTTCGTCGGGATACGAACTTATAATATTGTGGGAAGAGACATTCGGTTCGGTTTCGGTAGCAACAACACTCCGGGCATTGTAGAGGGCGGACCCATACATGAAGTCCGACGATTTTCGAACTTCACATGTAGTTGGAAGGGGTCGACTAAAGAAGTTCGGATTCCGACAAACTTGGAAAGTTTGCTCAGACTCAAGTATTGTTGAATTGCGGATGATACTGGAATGAATATGAACACCCTTACCCACAACATGTGAAGTTCGCTTGATCCGAACGTCGAATATTGAAGAAAAGGGTATTCGGTTCATTTACGGTGTCAAAGCGAATTTTGTCATTGCAAAAGGCATGCACTGGCGCTATTCCGGCACTAAC